AGGAAAATGATGGAGTGAATTATAATTTAATCCGTGTTTTTTTATGATTTTTTTAGTTAGTCCCTCTGTTTTATGAAAAGCATAAAGTTTTCCCTTGACCAAGTTGACTGTTATTTGTTTTTTGAAATTTCTAAACTACCCTTTTAAACGCATTTTTTATTTTGTCTGTAATAGGTAATATTGAAAATTTTGATTAGAAATGAAGACATTTTAGGCAAAAAAACCCAATTTAGTAGTGGCAAAAAACCAAACAAGGACCAAAAGTTACAATAAAATATGAAAGTTATTTAATTAGAAACACGCAGGTCAAATAATAATTTAGACCTTCAAAATTGCAGATGGCATCACATGAGGAAGATGGATGGCAGGTCTTCTATGAATACGAGAGTGTGATGTTTTCTTATTAAGTAATCATTTATTTGCTTGGGAAATTGTGTTTGTTTTAAAAAATAAATTTTAAAAAAATAAATTATTTTATGATATTTGATACTCTAATAAAAAATAAATTAAAAAAATATTTTTCAGCGTTTAGTTATGTCATGAAAAATAGATAGAAAATTACTTATTAATATTTTATTTTTTTCAAGTTTATTAAAATAATAAGAAGCAAATCTTATAAATTAAAAAGTTAAATAAGAATGAAATAAAAAATATATAATTTTATAAATTATCTCAAATAAAATAAATAATAATCAAAATAATAGATATCAAAACTAAAAAATAAATAAATTAAAAGAATAATAATTAACATTTCATAAATTATTTCAAATAAAATAAGTAACAATGAAAAGAATGAGAACTAAATTTAATAGATAAAAAAATTCAATTAAAAAATGATAAGAAAAAAACAAATAATAATTATAAAAATAAAAACCAAAGTTAATATAAAAATTAAATTCTAAGGGATAAAATTATAAAATAAATATTCAAAATAATATATATATCAAAAATTTGAAAATCAAATTTGATATAATAAGTAAATAATATGATATTTTTAATTTTTTTATAATTTCTGAAAAGTATTTTCCGATCAAAATAAAAAAAAAAAATTTGAAAATCAAGTCAATTTTTTTTTAAGTAGAAAGTGTTTTTTATTGACTGAAAAATATTTTTCGTTGATTAATTTTTTTAATAAAAATAAATATAAAAAAAATTAAAAATTAGTTTTTAAAAAATAAAAATATCTAAAAATACAAAAAAAGGTTCTCAACTATTACCTTGAAGAAGATATGTATAACTGACAGCACGCTGCGATGCATGCCAACATACAAGAAAAATTAACATATCAGGAGAAAAGAAGCAAAATTGCATACTCAGTTGTGTTCTTAAGATGAGTCAACGCAGGGAAATGAATCTCACGATATGCTTCCAACTCTTTCCTCTCCTCTTCTCCTCCACCATATTCACACAAAGAGTGTGCTAACATGTCAATTTCAAACCTCAGATGAATAGCTAGATATCTTGAAGCTTTGACAGCATGACCCACTTTTCCTTTCAGATTTGGTTCTGCAAAAGGACCAGTAAGATAATGATCCAGCGACCCTGGATGGGTAGCATGTTTACGCAATCTTTGAAGGAGCAATGCGCCAGTTTCTTGTATCTTGGGAACAAATTGCAGTGCATGAAAATTACATCTGCATCGAAGTCTCTAGATGAAGTCCGACATTAGGATGAGCAAAGTAGGAAGGAAATGGAAGTAAGGATGATAATCAGGCATATATTGCTTACAATCTACCATCATTTGTAGCGGATTAGAGTACCAAAGACCTGATATTTACCTGCAACTGAAAAGGTATTGGATCAAATGCCAAGCGATTCCCAAATCCAACAAAATGGACTACTCTATTTTTCAGTAATATAGGGAGAATGCTTTTCAAATAAAAACTTGGCTCTGATTCTTTGGGGACATCTACATCTGTCACCTGCATGGGATTTGCGATATCTCACTATTAACAACAAATTACTGAAGATAAGAACAAATCAGGCATGAACGCCCTCAGAATTATTTAGGATAGGAAACTGACAGTGCTACCAATTGCCTCCAAATCCAGCGACTGCAACTCCTTAGGCAGTTCCTTCACTATCCGAATATCAGGAGTAAGATAATTAATAAAATGCTCCTCCTGATAGATGTGGCTGAATTGACTATGAAATATAAAAATGACTGTTACTTTTCCATCTAAGTCACATGTAAGAATAAGAATGACTTGAATAAATCACTTTGATATGCAGTGATGAAGCATGGTGTTTAGGGGAGCAGAAGTTAGCTAACAATAATCTGGGTAAATACACAAGATTATTTCACCGAATCAAATTATTGAAAGATGCAACTCAATTGAAGCAAGCATTTTCCTTGAGGATATCAATTTCAAGCTGGACCATTAGGCAGCCAACAGCTATCACTGGCAATCATGTTTTGTCCAACAACCATTATGTAGACTTTTTCTGAAGAAGAAATTTTGAGAAGAATATATTACCTCACATCTCTCCAGACACTGCTGTACATAAATCTAGGAATAACAAGAGATGAATTCAGCAACCGTGCAATAACCACAGCATTGCAAACCTGTTTTTAAAATAGAAGCAAGTTTGAAGCAGTTCAAAATGGTAAAGAATACAATGCATATCAGACCATTCTGAAGCAAAGACAGTTGCATACAAAACTACAGCGCAGAAACAAGTACTGAATTCAGCAACTGTCCAATAATCACAGCATTGCAAACCTGTTTTTAAACTATAAACAAGTTTGAAGCAGTTGAAAATGGTATGGAATACAATGCATATCACCCTTCAGAAGCAGGGACAGTTGCATACAAAACTATGAAACTTGGTTGCGTAGGAGTAATCATGAAAGCTGCTGGCCAAAGCATTACTTACAGCTACTCGTTGCTGGTTCATCCCCCCATTTGCAGTGACCAAAATGTAACCATTATTTCCCTCTACGAAAGAGAAATACCATGTTAGAGCCAGTTTTGCACCACCATAACACACTATTTACTCAAATGTGAAACATCCAAGACATTTCCACAAGGGAGACAGGCAGAAACACACGCCAATGCAGACATCAAGTCAAATACCCACCTGCATAAAAACACAAACACGCACAGAGAAAGTACGTTACCACTAGGATTCCAATCACGATGATCAGCGCAAGGTCTCCAAGCAGAGGCAGGAACAAATGGCCCCTGCCACAACTCTTTTGGCTCATGTTTATTCTGTTCCCATGTTAAATATCAGGAAAAAAAAATATTAATACAGAACTCCAAAAAAAATAAGAAAATCACAGCTACAAAAGATTGGATCCAAAAAACTCACCACACCAAAACAAGCTATATATTTGGATAACAAGATAAAAATTCGCCAATTCAAATACCTTAGCAAGGGAATGGGCAGCCAAAGCTAACATCCTATCATAAGTATCCTTTCGTGGCATTTTTCCTTTGCCAATCTTTTTCAATCCATCCTGCATTCAAAAATTAAGCAAACAATAATGGGATTTAAAAAAAAATACTTAAATTCTCCAAATCATTCACATATTACACAAACTTTACATATCTCTCGTAAATTAAGAATAATGAAATACAGCAATTAAACACCTTTTTGCTTTTCCAAATTAATATAAAGAATCAAAATATGAACTTTTTAAGCTCAAATCTTCCAAATTAACGACAAATTAACAAACCATAGAATCCATAAAGTCACTCCATTTCCTTCTCCAAGTTCACAAAACATTACTACAGCTATTTTTTTTTAAAAAAAAAAATGCACCTTGATTGAAACTGAAATTGAAGGAGAATTTTGAACAGACATGTCTTTGTTGCCACTGGTTTCATCATCAAGTTGAAGCCTTAAAAGCATGAAGCCATTAAAAATAAAAAACAAACCCACCAAACAAACCAAACCCAGAATTCCTTTGAATTGCTTCTTTCGATACCAAACAACCTTCCCTCTCTCTCTTTTTCTCTTCCATTTGTTTTGCCCGAGTCGAGGAGAATGAGTCGGTAATGAGTGTGGATTGGAGAGGTCAGCTGATGGGGACATGCTAAAAAGGTTGACAACAGAAAAATTTACTCCTAAATTTATTTTAACATTGAGGCACCACAGATGAGGTGGCCTTTAAGGAGTGTAAATCGAGCTGGATGATTGCTATAATTTTAGATACTACAACAATTTTTTGCTATAAACAGCATTGGTTAGAGACAGAGAACATATAGAATCCTGAGATGGTAATCCTATTTGTAGCCTCTTCTTGATGAAAATTTTGCATGCGCCAACACAAACCTCTGAATCATTCCACCTTGTTTTTTTTAGTTTACGGTGAGCTGGAATATATATATATATATATATATGATTTCCTTTGTGCATTGCCAAGTTGAGAATCTAGCTTAACTGAGAAATGCTAGATTGAATTGCCTTTAGGACTCTGTAGTCTTGTTTTTACTTTTGTTACAATGAAGTTCAATAATGCTAATCTTTTCAAAAGATTCTTATATTCAACAAAATTCAAAGTGGATTAGAATGCATTTCGAGTTTGGAAATGGAATTACAGAAACTACGAAATGTTCTGAGAGATTAAAATGATGCAACTCGATTTTTTTTTTTAGAGTGATAAATGGTGGATTTTCTTCTGACGAGCCTCTTGCAGTCTGAAAAATACCAGGCGAGCGACCAGAAAACGATTTGTTTGGTCCCCAAGGAAATTGCAAAATACCAAAACTTCTTCACCTACTTTCATAAAAGAGTTCGAGAGGCAAGTGGAACAGCCTGTTCATTGTCGTTTTCAAGTTCATATTTTCTTTCATGATCCACATGCGCCTCCATGCTTCAAATGTGCAATGAAAGGAAGAACCCATTGCCTCAATGACTTTGTTTCTGTCTTTCCCCAGATTCCCAACCTTTTTTATTTTTGGTTGGCAGTTTCTGGTGTGGAACAGCATATTCAAATTGATAGTTCAATTGTCTGCAGGTGAAAAATCTTTGCCAAAATGTAAACTTGCGAGGATCAAGTGAAAAATCTTTTATTAGGCCGCATTATATATTGAATGTTACAGCAACATATGGAAAAAGATTTTGGAATACAGGATTTAATCATTTACAGCTAAAGATGAAGTTAAATGTATGCAACTGGAATACAGTATTAAATCACTTACAGCCAAAGATGAAGTTAAATGCATGCATCTCACAATGCTTCGGGCATAATTACATATCTATCTGATCTGATTTTATAGCTTTGTAGCCTCTTTCCTCTTTATCTGTGCGTGTTTTGGTCATCCATCGATCTTTGTATGGTTGTATGCAAAATCGGAAGCTTCATTTCCAAGTTCAAGATGGGCCAAGACTCTCAAAAAGATGAATCTATTGCCTCATGATCGGGGGTTCTATATGCAAATCCTGACTCGTCACTGGATCGCCTCTTGACCACACTGGCCCTTTGCACTAGTCGTACCAATGCTTGCACAACTTCAGACATGGGAGGGCGAAACTCAGGTTCCGGCTATAAAGAAAACAAAAATCATAAGTTGCCCATTTTCAGTTCAGAGAGTGATAATAAAGAAAACTGCAGCCAAAATCAAACAACTCCATGCAACCGTATACATGAGTGTTATGGCCCAAAATCATATCCAAAAGAAATGAACCAATGAAATTAAATGGGAATGCAGGCCATGCACGAATAGGCTCCATATGATGGAGCATATGATTTTAAGTTAAAAAGGTTTGCTAGTTAGATAGCCATTCCGGAATTCTTAAAAATATCATGAAAGCTGAGGCTTGGTGCATATGTAGTCTTCTTGTCAGAAAAAAGAGACTTACCTGGACACAGAGGGCAATGATGTCAGCGAAACGTGAAAGAGACTTTGCAGGATAAATGCCATTTAAGGTAGGATCAACCATTTTTGCCAAGGCATCAATATCATGCAGTTGAGGAGTAGCCCATCTAACAAGTGACTGCTCTGATCTCACCCTCGAACTATTAAACCCCAAAAAACGGATAAGGGATAAATTTAAACCAAGTTCAAGAATAGCCCCAAAAATAAATGCTTAAACAAGTCTACGAACGAAAGCACAATTGATCAGTAAACAAGAGAAATGCTACCTGTCCAGTGGCTTCCGACCAGTCAATAGCTCTAGCATTACCACCCCAAAGCTGTAGACATCACTTTTTACAGTGTATATTCCTGACAGAGCAAATTCAGGAGCACTATAACCAAATGAACCAACCATCTGTGTTGAAACCTATCAACGTGAATCATACGAGGTCAGTCCCAATGCAACAAAAGGTATGTTAAAAAAAAGTTCAAGAAAGCATGAAGTTAATGAGAGTTTGCAGTGCCTGCACAAAATTATTCACTCCTTTTCCTTTTCCTTTACCTGTCTCTCTGTGTTTGGTGTCAGAGCAGCCAAACCACAGTCTGACAAGTGGGGATTAAGTTCTTCATCAAGTAAAATATTTGCCGACTTCAAGTTTCTATGTACAACAGAAGGCAAGCAGACTTCATGCAAGTACCTGAGAAAACAGGCTACAATTAAGAGAGGATGTAGGCATGCTGTATGATGGAGAGAGAGAGAGAGAGAGAGAGAATGAGAGAATTCTAACACCATACACACACACACACACATATATAACATACTCTAAAGCACGGGCAGTGCCAAGTGCTACTCTAACACGTGCATTCCAAGATAATGTCTTGCTGCCATCATCAGCAAAGTGCAGTATATCATGCACACTCCCATTTGCTATATATTCATAAACCAAGAGTCGTTGCCCATGCTCCACACAGTATCCTACTAGGGAAACAATGTTTGGGTGCCTCAAGTGTGACATATTTGAAACAGCTTCAAGAAAGTTGTCTTCCTCCTGTAACGACAATGCTGCATTGTCGATCTTCTTAACAGCCATCATCTATATCAACAGAACAGAACTTGATTGCTTAATTATTGCAACAGAGGTTAGCAAAACCTGTAAAGAAAAGCAACCCAACCAGAACACCAAGGGAAGAACTCTCACAGTCATGATGGCTTTATTTTTATCATAATTTAGGTCAATTTTTAGCATACTTTAGGTCAGAAGAATTTAATCAATGAATTAACCAAAATTTACTAGATAAATGTGAGTCATCATGCACAAAAATTACATGCTCATTGTGGCTAGCAATAGGACCTCTTCAAGTGCATATAACACTGGTAGCTCCATGGACTCGTACTAATACAAATATAGAAACCAGCATGACCATAAGAACATAGATATTACTCTATATCCAATGATCTAAGTTACCTTTCCATTAGGAAACTCTCCTCTGTAAACACGACCAAGAGAACCTTCACCAATTAGAAACTCTTGACTAAAGCTACTTGTTGCTGTTTGTAGAGAAGCAACACTGTATGAAGTGGCAGTGATGGGTGACTTCATTCTTTTTATGGATCCAGAATTCCCTTGTAATCTCTCAACCACCAATTTCTCAGCAGGTGGGGGCTTCAGATCCGTAACAGCAGCCATGTTTTTCACCCTTGACTCTTGCATATCTCTATCAACTGGAAAAACAAAGCAGAGCATAAACCTCAGTGGTTAGGATTATTATACAAGAGCTTCCAGCTTCAATCTATTAATTAGGGAACAAAATTTTGAAGCCTGTTGAATGAAGGAGGGGTTCAACATTATATTTTGCATTAATATGCAGACAGACCAACTAATCACAATCTTACTTATTTAGACTATGGTGTCTTAAGGAAAATGAGCTTGACTAATAGCAGGATCAAAAAGCACTATTTTAACTGCCTCTTGGATACCAGTGTTGTAGATACTATGACCCCACATCAAACAAATGGCGCATTACGTCGTCTCATATTCTGAAAATTCAAAAGGTTATCTCAGAAGAAAAAAGATTCAAAGGACAGAAAACCTACTGTCATCTGTATCAGCAGGACGACTTCCCCGGGTAGCTAGAGGACCAATTTCCTTGCTTTTGTGCTTCTTAATGCAAAAGACAAGAGCAAGTAGTGCAATGAGAACCAGAACAACAGAACCCAGGGCTACACCTACAATAGCTCCCACTGAAATTCCCTTATCTGACTGTTCTGGTTGACCATCAGAAGAAGGGGTGACAGGTGCACCAGATCCTGGATGAGTACGGTTTCTGTGAGATTTACCAGGAGGTGGTGGGGTATAAGGTGGCGGAGGTGGAGAAGGACCATTGTCAAAAGAATTTCCATCGTATCTGATAATTATTCAAAGAGCTTTTTTAACATATTGCAGAAGTAGAACATGATAAATTTAGCATGGAAGAAACACAGAGCAAAGAAACTTACATAAAGTTTGGGATTAAACTAAGTTCTTGAGGTATCCATCCACTAAAGTTATTGTTTGCAACATTTCTGTTGAAAATATAGGTTGCAATAAGAGCATAGTGGCAGATGACAGAATTAAAACCCCACCATTGCTAAAGGAACTTACAGAGTTGTCAAAGGCAAACCAGTAAGAACATTAAGAGAGCCAGTCAGTTGATTGTTCTGAACATTGCTGCAGCATATTAGAATATCACAAGCCTTTAATCAAACTTTCCAAGAGTTTGCAATCCTTTTCTTTTATTCACAGTATGTTACTAGGTTAATTTTGAATGGAGTCAGCACTCTACTCACAGTGTAGAAAGATTGGACAACGAATTAAAAGAACTGGGAAGATCTCCACTAAAGCTGTTAAAAGAGAGATCCCTGCATGCACAAGCAATAGTAAACATCCAAGAGAACTATTTATTGAAAAGTAGATATGAGCATTATTGTGCTGGAAATGAAGAGTGTTAAAGAATAACATGACAAATGCAGCCCCCATGGTGGGCAATTGGGATACAAGTCACATAAATGAAAAATGTTTTCCTGTTCACTCTCTCTTTAATAAAATTTGTTTCTTCCCTCTTTCCTGATCAGTACTATTTTTCCACCATATTACACACCACAACACCATATTTTAGCTTTTTCCTGCATGCACTCCCCTTCTGTACCATTCATTTATCTCTCGTAACAAAATATATTTCTCTCAAAAAAAAAAAAAAGAATTCTACTTCAGCACATCCCTAATCTCCTCAACAGGTTACCTTTATTGAACTTATTGTGTTAATTCGCTCCTTCTTGTATTGTTTGAACAAACAATTTTGTGAAGAAAAAAGTATCATAATGTGGCTTTTCCACCATCATGATTCTTTGCATAGTACTAAAAACTCAGTTAACATGTATTTTAATAACAAAAATTCCAAGAACTAAAACTCAAATAACATCTGTTTTGAAGTAAGAAATCTCACATGGTTGCGAGGAGAGAAAGATTAAGGAAAACATCTCCAATTGATTGGGCAAGTGAATTGCGGCTTATGTTTCTGAAACCAAAGATGTTGAATCAGGGAATAATCCAAATTCTGCAATTACTTGACAAAATTTAAATGCATTCCAGCTAAGCCACTCACAGATAATTAAGAGAAACCATGCTAGACATCGAATAAGGAATATTCCCACTCAAGTTGTTTTTGGCAAGATTTCTGTATTATGCAAGAATAGAATGAACACGTTATCAAACAATTCAAATAGATTGAAAACATCAGAAACAATTGACACGATGGAACATTACAAGCTTGTAAGATTCGGTGGTAACTGATATGGGAATGAATCACGAAGGTGGTTGTCACTTAGATCTCTGGCAGGCACAAACAACCAATATCAGCGGCTCAAATAACCAATGAAAGCAGCATAACTTCATCCACCCAAAAAATGAAATAAAGCATTAAATCTCTCACAATGTCCTCAATGACATGAGGTTTGCAAGCAAGTATCCCATTGTCCCGTCAAGTCCTAACCCAGATATCTGACTGTCAACACCAGCAACACTAAACCATTCAACAAACAAACAAACAAACTAAACCACTAACTCAATTAAAAGCATAAATCTCAATGCACTTTCTCACATGGAAACAACAGCTGACCCTTCACAAGTGATCCCTTTCCATGACTCTGCACATGGATCCCCACCATTACTTTTCCAATTGGTTAGCTGTGAAGGACTATTCAGCGATGTGTACATAACTTGTAGAGCTTGAACTGCAACAACAACAAATACTTTCAATCCTCAAAATCAATCAATTTAACCCCTCAAAAAATCCACCGACATAAACCCTTGGTTAGTCCACAGGGAAATGAAAGCAAAAAATTACAATCAAAATGAAATGAGACAGCATTTCAATCATTAGATTAGTCGGGAGAAAAAAGAACAATTTTACTTTCATAAGCTAAACACAAAAGGTAGAACATCATCTAGCACATTTTCTCGGAAACAAACAGAAAACAAAGAACTAATTTTCAAAGAAAAAAAACAAAAAAAAAAAGATCATGGTAGCAGTTCATATCTTGACTCTAGCTTCACTCCAACCAAAACAAACCCCAAAAGTCAATAACTTTAACCACACCAATCACCATCAAACCAACCAAAAACAATCAAAAAACCAAATCCCATTAAAAAATACCCCGAGAAAACAAGAAACAATGCAAACTTTACCATCATTAGCATCAGTGGTACATTGAACAAGCAAGATCAGAACTTTAATCACAGACACAAACAAAAATAACTCAAAGTGCTTCAATGTCATTGTTATTATTGACAAACAGATCAAATTTGGTGTTTCTCTTTTCTGGGGTGTTTTAGTTTAGTCTAGTTTAGAGGCGGTGGTGAGTGGTGACCAGCTTGATCAAGTGAGGCAAAGCTCATGGTATTATAGACTCTGGAGACACGAGAAGCAAACAAGAAGAAGAGGAAGAAGAGAAGAGGGTGTTAATGAGGTGGAGATCACAGTCAGTAGTCAGAGACATTGTCATTAAAGAAAGGGATAGCTAGAGAGAGAGAGAGAGATTCCAAGCTTGAGAAGGTAATTAAGAGAGAGAGAGGGCCTGTTGACTGTGTGACTCGTTGTAGTTTATGTTTGTGTCGGCGAAAAGGGAAATAGCTGGAAACATAGTAATTAGATTTTACATGAACTTCGGTGGATCAGCTAAAAGGATTTAAAAATAAATTTGATCCAAATCATACTCCAAGTCATCTATTATAGAATTAACTAGTCAGGCTACTATGAGTTGGAAAAAGAATTTCAACTCGAATTTCGAGTTGAGTTCAATAAATGAAAGTTGAAAAGAAAAATAATTGATACTCTAAGGATTGGCAAGTATTATTTCCCAAATCCGACAATTAACATTCCTAATCAATAAATTTGGTGTTAGATTATTGAGGAGATGTTATATTAAGAGCAACGTTATGTTGTAATTAATAAGCAGGGGCCTGATTTGAGTGACGAACATATTTGTTTTTCGCTCTTAATTTGAGATTAGAGGAAGGTTTTAATTTTAAATCCGAATAAATAATTATTAATATATTCTCCATCAAACGTGTACTGGAGAGTGAATGGAACAGGGTCCTTTTGCTTGTACCTGCGTACAAAAACCTTGTCTTATTAGTGTACATTGCAAAATGCCAGAGCAGTGGAAGAAAAAGGATTCAGAAGAATAGACTGTACAGGATTAAAATATTCATTCCTGGCTGCTTGTTCTATGCTGAAGATTAAGGTCAAGGTCGCCCTCGAATATTAACCATTTACAATAACTCTAAAAGCTGTGGGTAGTCATAATTTATTAAGAATAAAAAAAAATCATTCGAGGTTAATATTTTAAAATATTATACGGAGTAATATAATGTATTTATTTATAATACAAGGATAAGAAAAATTATAAAAAATTGTATATAAAATATTATTTGAAATAGGTAATAGTGAGAAATTTTAAGTTTATACTAAAAAAATATCAGTGATAATTAAGGATATTTTACCTTCTCAAGCCGTTCTTAATCTACAAAATTATAGATTGTTTATCGTAACAAACTCATCATAGTCAGTAAATAGAAATAAAAACATCATCAAATCATAACAAATAAAAAAAATAATGCAACTTGCATTAAATATGATATATTGTGAGTATCAATATCTTTTATTAATGTAATGAATCCCCTGCCTATAATCTCTAAAAGAACATTTATGATTTCTAATAATCATATTATTGGACGGCAACTCCTGAACCGACAAAAGACCTCCCAAACATATCTGGAAAGGGTCGTCACGTTCCCGCGATGAGGGTAAGACATTATTGTATCTTAATACACAAATTATCGTGGATTGTTTATAATGAAATTATCATATTAATCTTGGGTGAAAAAAATGAAGTCTTGAGGGTAGGGGTGTTTTGGTTTTTTTTACCTGCCCATTAGTTTTTAGAAAATTATGCAAGAGTGTTTATATTTTTTTAAAATTTTCAACATGATAAAAATATTTGTTTACCTTTAAAGTCAACAAAATTTACAATTATTGACGAGGAGCTTTCTTAACTTTTCATAAGTTTTTTAATAATAAAAATATTTATTTGCCTCCAAGGTAAAAAAAATATTGGGCTTTTGGATAAGGGTTTTTCTTAGTTTTCAAATATCCATATACAATGAAAGAGCATCTTTAACCTTGAAAAAAAACAAAAAATAAATTTTATATGTAGAGGTATTTTTTATACTTTCACATGAGTATTTTGTACACTTGTTATAGTCATAAGGGATATTTTAATATTTTTCAAATTGTTTTAAAAAATAATTATTAAAAAAATTGTTGGCATGTATTCAATACATATTAATGAGTGGATGGCGTTTGTGTCATTTAAATGACGCCTGTGAAGCTACCTGATAACCAAAACTGACCTTCCCCATCTCTCTAGATGTGTCATAGTGTTCTCTTTCATGTGGATAGGTGCATGGTGGTTATGGCAGTCGGATTGTCATCGACAATCGTTTGATTTTTTTGCCTTGTTTTCCATCTCTTGACAAATAATATATAACATTATCCTCTTTATTTTTTACTTTTTAATTGCTATCATCATTCTCTTAATTTCTTATTTCGTTCTTTTTACAATTTTTAAAGTTTTTTTCTTTTCAATTTAGTCATTCAACTACAATTTCTCATATGTTTTTTTCAAACAATTTTAGTCCTCATTTTTTTAATTTCTTATTTCGTTCTTACTCTTTTTATATAAGTTTTTTTTTCAATTCAGTCCTTTAATTGCAATTTCTTATATGTTTTGTTTTTTATTTCAATTCTTTAATTTTTATTTTTTTTATTTAGACCTTTAATTTTTAATTTTTTTCTTGGCACTTTTATTGAAGTTTTTTTTCTTTCAATTTCATCCCTCAATCATATTTTTGTTGTTTTTTTTTTTTCAGTTCGACCCTCATTCTTTTGATTTGTTTTTCCTTTTATTTAAGTTATTTTTCAATTCAATTTAACCTTCCGATTAAAATTTTGTACTCCCCTAATTAATTTTTTTCACCCTATTTATTTTAGATATTTTTTTATAATTGATTTTTTTTTCTAATTTCATCTTTCCACATTTTATTTGTTAGAGATTTGACTTCATATGATTTTATTGCTATACATTAGTTTTTTTAATTAGTTTTGTAATTATCTTCAAGTTTTTTCTATTGGTTTATCCCGGTTTCATGGCTTAGGCTAGGAGTTTTGAATGCATTTTTTGAATATAAGTTTTTTTTTTAGTTGTTCTATTTTCATTTGATTTTTCAAGATATTATTCTAATTTATTTATAATTTTTTTAAATACATGAATTTTTTAAAATAAAAAATATTTATTTTTAAATAATATTGATGATGTGTTTGGGCTTTCATGATATTTTTTACAGCATGAGGTTACTCAATGAGTTTCATTTATATTTATTTTTTAAGTCATGATTTTTTTTAGGGTGTAAATTTATCTTTTATTAATTTAAATAAATAAGTTTAGTAAACACAATCGGGTGAATATCTCATTTTATGTTATTGAATATTTTGATCTGCATTCATCTTTTGATTTTTTCATTTTTTTCTTGGTTATTGCTAATGATTTTTTTATTTATATAAATGGTTATCAATTTGTTTAATTAGATACTTATATTTATATAGACTTTTTATTTTGTATTTTCATTTATTTTATGTTAAAAAATCTTGTATAAACAGTTTTTCTTTTTTTTTAAAGAAAAGAATTTATAACCAGAGAAGCGCGCGGGTTAAATGCAAAGTCTTGCAATACTTTTTTAGATTAAAGTAAGTATTTGGGTCAGTTTGCGTGCACCATGACTAATTCCATGGATACTGAAGTTAAAGTCTTGCAATACTTGGTGTGAAGGGTAGAAGAGGATAGTTGCAGATCGGCTGACCAGCTCCTAGCTAGGCATGGCCCATAGCAGACAGAAAGTGGCTACGACAAGGCTAGCAACAGAGAACTTGTGAGAATGACAATAATATTTTCACATGCGAGCTGATGCTGCGAAATCACCCTTTTTTGACTTGCCTTGCTTCGTGGCTTTTTAGGAGTGAAATGAGATGTTTATTCTTTGTCTTGTTCGTCTGCACAGCTGCCTTTCATGAATGATTATCGATCACACTTTATTTCCATGCATTCTTGGAATCGAATAGTGGTGGTGGTGGGGGAGCGAGAGGCCACGGAGTGGTTGCTGGCTGGCTGGCTAGAAGAACTGCATGCATTATTAAAAATAAATTTGTGGGTGGTGGTGGAAAAGAGCCCTGACATGGGTGAAATCTTGGTAAAGTTGCTAATCATAAACTTCGAAGGAGGAGTGGTGAGGCATGGAGATCTAAAGTGGACTGTATTATTCTCTTGCCCGATCGAGAGCTAATATTTTTTGTGGCTTCTTTTCAAACAGCACTGGCAATTCTTTATTATCTACAAACTAGAATAATCTAAAAAAGTATTTGGAGAGAAAAAGCACATATCCATGATTTGCACTATTCAAACAGTGTAATTTAGCTAGGAATCATCAATTGTGTTCTTCCCCGCAACATCGATCGCAATCTAATAAGTTATGTTCTTTCTTCGATTGTGCTAGTTTTCCATAACAATACATTAGGAAGCATGATTTCGATCTCTTGACAGTCATCTTGCCACCCTCAGGAGACCAACAAGACAAAAAGGCAAGAAGAGGAAGGAATCTCACTGGTAAGGTGCACCTAAATATGACCTTCTGTGCCTGTTTAATATTCCAGAATCAAAGATTACTTGCTAATGTCGGAAATCTTATTCTATTTTTACTTGAATATGAAGGCAAAAATGTGCTTGTGATCTGCCTTAGATCCCTTCTCTAATAATAATAACAATAATACAGTCGCAAATAAGAGACAATCTCACTAGCTAGTTGACCTTATTTGTTAATATATATAGCTATATATCTATTGACAGATCCATGCATGAGACCCTTGTTTATCTTACAATAACACCAGCTAGGGCATCAACTATATAATTGATTAGCATTTATATATCCTTGGTACGTCCACAAGCACATATCTTCTTTCCATTATGATTTATAATTCAAATCTAAATTAATGTCAATGAAGACACCTTTTTCTTTCTTAAATGCTTGCTTAAATTGTTTATATAAAATCCAACAAAAAAAAAAGAATTAACAAGAAATTAAAGCATAACTACAAAACTCGATACGGTAGAACTCACTAATTTAAAGCTTTACTTGGGAAATATTTTATTCAAATAATACTGTTTGAATTAAAAAATTAATTATTTTATAAATTTAACAAGTTAACTTGACTAATTTAAAATAAATAGTCAATATTATTAGTATAATTCAATAAAATTAAGGCCAATTTTAAGATTATTATGTAACATATTATGTGCTGATTAGAAGTTTTATTTCTTTAATAACCATAAGTGTTTAGGCTTGATTAAATTATAAAACTAATAATTAAATAAATTTTTAATAACTGAAATTTATAATACTTCAAGTAATAATCTTCAATAACAAATCTAAAAACTGAATAACTAAAACAAGAGTTGCTGATCAGAGGTCTTGCCAAGTCTCTCAGGTAGTAAGAAGCGTCTA